GCTCCGACCGTTGCCTGCCGCTCGGGGCTGTCTTGTCGCTCGGTTCGTCTTCGTGGGTCGTTGGCTCCCCTTGTTCTCTCCTTCTCCGCCCTGGCTGTTGTCGTCGCCCTCTTCCCTCTGTCCCTTCGTCCTTCTCTGCCTCGCTGGCGGGTCCGCCCCTCCGCCGCCCCGGCAGGCCTTCCTTCCGTGCCCGCGCTCAGCCCTCTGCCCGCTCCGCCTCCGGTCCCGCTTGCCGCTCCGTTTTGTCTCTCTTCTTTCTCCGTCCCTCTCGTCGGTGTGGGTGCTGGCCGGTTTTTCGCCCGCGCTCCCCCTTCCCCCCGTCCGTGCGGGTACTCCCCCGCCTGCGGCTCCCCCTTTTCGCGGTGGCCCCGCCCCGCCTTCCTATCGCCCCTCCCTGTCGTGCCCTTTCGCCTGCTCCCCCTCGGCCGCTCCTTCGCGTGTCGGCCGCGCTGTCTGTCGTCCCCGTTGCCTCTCTCTCTTCCTTGCCTTTGTGCCTTTTCGCTTTCTCTCTCTCTCTCTCGGCTCCGCGCTCTTTTTCCCCGCTTCTGCCCTTCCCTTTACCTCCCTCGGGCCCTTCTCTCCTCGGGCCCCCCTTCCCTTTCCGTCCCCTGCCCGGCCTCCTCCCTGGCTCTTCCCCCGTCCGGGCTCCCTTTCCTCCCTCTGCTCTGCTCCCCCGGCGCCAGGCCTCCCGCCGCTTCCGCGCCTGCGGCGTTTTCGCACGCCGGTCTTTGCCCGTCGTGCCCTCCTCCCCGCTGGCTGTCTGGCGGGTTGTCCGCTCGCCTGCTGCCTTCTGTTCGGCTCTGGCTTCCCGCCCCCCTGTCGTTGCCTGGCCCCGCCGGCGGTTCCCCGTTCCCCTGTGCCGCGCTGTGCGGTGGCCGGTGGTGCTGCCCCGCCCGGGGTACTGCGTTCAGCGCCCTTGCCCCGGCCCTCCGCCCCCGCCCCCAGCTCGTGCCCCCCCGGGTCGGTGCGGTCCTCCCCTTCTGCCGACGCCGGGGTCTGGCTCACCGCGGCCCCCTTCCCCCCTCTCCCTTCTGTCCCTCTGCTGTCCTCCGGTCCGGCGGTTCGCTTGCGTTGCTCCCCCGCCCCTTCGCCCGGTGCTCCTGCCGCGCTCCGGCCCCTCCACCGTGCCGGGGCCCCCGCCGGCCTCGCTCGCGCCTCGGCGCCGCCTCGGCCTCCGCGGCTTCGGTGCCGCCCTGGCGTGCTCCCCTCTGTGGTTCGCGCCCGTTCCCCCCCTTCTCCGTTCCTTTCCCCTCCTGCTCGTGCCCCCCTGCGGCCGCCGGCTGTTGCGGTCCGCCCTTCGCCGTGGCCCTTTTTGCTTTGCCTGTTCCTCGTCGTCCTGGCCGCCCCGCGCCCCTCCCCGCGCTTCTTCCCTGCGGCTTGTCCCTCCCCCCCGTCCCCGCCCTGCCTCTCCTTCGCCCGCGCGCGCGCCTTCTCTGCCCGCCGGGCCTCCCGGCTCTGTTCTGCCCGCCCGCGGCGCCCCGCCTCCCTTTTTTTGGGGCCGGTCGTCTTTTCTGCTCGGCTTCCGGTCCCCCCCTTCTTTTCTCCGCCCCGGCGCGGCGCGTGTCCCCTTTTTCTTTGTTCCGCTCTCCCGTTTCTGCGGGTTTTCTTTTCCACCCGCGCCTCCCCCTCTGCGCCTGCGCTCGGCCCGCCGCGTGTTTTCTTGTCCTCCCCGACGCCGTCGTTTCCCGTCTTTTTGTCCTCTTGGCGCCTTCCTCTCCGCCCGCTCCCGCGTCCGCGCGCGGTCCTCTCCCCCCGCCCGGCTCCTTCTCGCCCCGTTGTTTTCCCCCGTCTCGCCTGTGGTTGGCTTCCTTCTTTGCCTGCTCTGCTCCCCCCCCCCCCCCCGCGCGCCTTGTTCTTGCTGCCGGTTGGGTTGGTCCCCCCCCCCCGCCCTGGGTCTGGCCTTTTTGCCTTCTGCCCGGCGCCGCCGTCCCTTTGTTTGCTGCGCCCCGCGCCGTTCCCGTCCCCGCCCCTTTCTTGTCTGCCCCTCTCCGTCGCTCTTTGTTCCCCCCCTCGTCGCCCGCCCCGCCCCCCGGGCGCCGCTCCTCCCCCCCTTCTTCCCCTCGCCCGTCCCCCCCGGCTCTCCCTCTCCCTCTCGCTGTCGCCTCGCTGCCCTCTGCGGTTTGCGCTGTTGTGTTTGTTTGCTTTCTCTGCGCTCTTGGCTCCTCCGGTCTGGCTTGTTTTCCCCCCCTCTCACGTGGCTTTCGTCGCCTTCCCCCCCTTGCTTCGGTTCGTTTCTCCTTTGCTTTGCCCCGTTCTTGTCGCGCCTTCCCTCCGTTCCTTCCGGCCTCTCCCTCTGGCGGCTGCCTCCGGCCTCCGCTGCTTCGGCGGGGCCCGGCTTCGCCCCTGCCGTCTTCCGGTCCTGCGCCTGCTGCGTTTCCCCCTTCCTCTCCCCCGCTTCTTCCCCCTCTCTTTCTTTCTTTGCCCTGGCCCCCTGCCCCCTCCCCCCTCTCCCCTCCCTTCCTGTGCCCTCCCCTCGCTCCCTCCCCGCCGGTTTGGCCCTTCGGCCCCCTCTGCTCGCCGCTTTCTTCCTCGCCTTTCCTTCCCTTTTGCGTGCCTGCCTCTTCCTCTCGCTCTTTTGCCGCTCCTCCCCCCCCTCTTCTCTTCTCTCCGCTCGCCCTCGCCCTGGCTGCTCCGCTTCCCTTTCTTGCTCGTCTCTTGCTTGCCCTGGCCCTGTCTTTGGCTGCCTCCCTTTGCCGTTGCTTGCCCTGCTCCCCTGTCTCCCCTTTTTTGCTTTTTCTCCCTCTGTTTCCCTTCTCTGCTTTTGGGCTCTTTGCCTTGCCCCTGCGGCGGTTGCGCTTCCCGCCCCCTTCGCGGCCCGCTGCTTCCGCTGCCTCGCCTCCCCGCCCCCCCGCCCCTTTGGCCCCCGCTCTCCGTTTGCCTCCCGCCCCTTTCGGCCCCCTGTTGTTTTCCGGTCCCGTCCCCTTCCCCTTCTTTGGCCGCCCCCCGGCCCTCTTTCGCGGTTTCGCCCGCTCGCTGCCCGCCCGCCTGCGCCCCCGGCGCGGTGCCTCGCGCTTCCCGCCGTGGTTTCCGCGTCGCTTTCCGTCCCGCCCCCCTTGCCTCCTTCCTTTCCCTTTCCCGGGGGCTTTTCTTTCCCTGCCTTGCCTTCCCGCCGCCCTGCGCGCCCCGCCCCGGCTGTTCGGTCTTCTGCCCCTGCCCCTGCTTGCCCCTTCGTCCTGTCCGGCCCTTCTTGCTCTCTTGCTTCCCTGCCACTTGCGCCTTTGCCTTGCCTGTCGCCTTCCCTTCCTCGGCCCTGTTGGCCGTGCCGTTCCTTGCTTTCTCTCTCCGCCCTTCGTCTTGCCCCCGCCCCTTCCCTCCCCCTCGGTGCCTCCTTCTCCTCTCCGCTGTCCCTTCCCCCGCCCTTTCTCTTGTTCGCGGCCTCTGCCTCTTTTCGCTCTGCCCCTCCCTCCCGTGCCCTCTCTGCTTCCCCCGCGGCCCCGTCTCTTGGCCCCCTCGCCCTGGTTTCCCCCCCCCTCGCTTCTCGCGCCCGGGCTGCCGCTTCCCTTCCTGCCCCCCTTCCCCCGGGCCCGCGCCCCGCCGCTGCTCTTTGCCCCCCGGCTCTGGCGCCCGCGGCTGCTTGGCCCCCCCGCCCTTCTTTCCCCCCCGCTTCTGTCCTCGCCCCCGCGGCGCGTCCCGCCGTTTTTTCTTTTCTTTCCCCCCTCCTTCCTTCCCTCCCTTCCTCCGTCCGTGCCCTTCCTCCCCGCCCGCTTCTTCTGCTCTCTCTTCTCTCCGTCCCTTGCTGCTTCCCTTCTTCCTCCCTCTGGGTGGGTCCTCTCCCTTGCTTCCTGTGGGTGCGCGCTTCCTTCCTGTGCCCCGCCTCCGCGGCTTCGCCCGCTCCCCCCCTTCGCCTCCCCTTCTTCCCCCCGGCCCGGCGTCTCTCGCCCCCTCCGTCTTCCTCGGCTCCGCGCGCTTCCTCCTCCCCCTGGCCCTTGCTTTCTTCCCCCGCCTTCCCCTGGCTCCGGGCCTTTCTTCCTCCCTGCCCTCCTTTCCGTTCGCCTTCCCATGCTCCTCTCTGCTTCCCCCCTTTCCTTCGCTGTCGTCCGCTGTGCTCTCCGGGCGCCGCCTTCTCTCTTCCCCTCCCGCCTCTCCTTCTCGCTCCTCGTCCCTCCCGTTCTTTCCGTCGGCGCGCCGTCGTCCCCTCCTGTCCTTCTCTTCTCTCTCCTCGTCGTTCCGTCCGTGCTCTCGTGGCCTTCTCTCTTGCCGCGCCTGCCGCGTCCGGTCGCTTGCGCCTTTCTTCGTTCTCCTCGCTCCGCCCCTTCTTCCCCGCCTCGCGCCCACGCCTCTTCTCTCCGCCTCCGGCCGGCCGCCCCCTTTTGCGGTCTCGTCTCGTTGCGCCCGGCTTCCTTTCGGCGCGCTCTAATTTCTCCCCTCGTTTTATCGTCCAGCACGCCCTTTTCCGCCCCCCCTCCCCTGCCTTTCTTGGTTTGACCCCGCGCTTTTCCCCCCCCGTCTTTCCATCCCTATGCCGCCCGCCGCTCTTTCTGTTTCTTCCCTCTTCCCCCCCCTTCCTCTTTCCTCCTTTTTTTCCTCCTCGGCGGCCGGGCTCACTCTTTCTTCTCTTCCTCCGGCTCTCTTTCCTTGCCCGCGTGCGGGCTTTCCCCCGCCGCCCCCCTCTCCCGTTGTCGGTTCCGCCGCTCGCCGTTTCTCTCCCTCCCCTGTCCGGTCCGTCCCCTGCCTCCTCCTGTCGTCGCGCCTCGCTCCCGCTCCCCTGCCGCTCCGCCGCGCCTGCCCTTCTCGTTCGAGCCCGCCCTCCCCGCCTCCTTCTCTCCGGGGTCGCCCGCCCTCCCTTCTTTTGCCCTTCGGCTGGGCTTCCCCTCTTGTCTGGCCTTACCCCCTTGCCTTGGCTGTGCCGGCCTTCCTTCCTGGGGGCGTCGCCTCCCCGCTGCTGCCTTGTTCGGGCTCCTCGCGCTCGTCCTCTCCCCTCCCCTCCCCTCTCCTCCCGGGGGGCCTCTTGGCTCGCTTTTTTTTCTTCCCCGCCTGGGGCGGCCTCCTCCTCGGTCCCCCTGCTCCCCCCGGCCGCCCCCCCCCGGTCCCCTGCCCGCCCCTTCCCTCCCGGCCGTGCGGTGGGCGCTTGCGCCTTTTCCTTCCTCTTTGCCCCGCCTCTCGCTGCGGCGCGCCCTCTTGTCCCGTCTGTTCGCTGCCCTTGGCCTCTCCCGTCCTCCGCGGCCCCCGCCGCCCCCTGCTCCCCTTTCTGGCGGCGCTTCCGCTTTCCCTTGGGGGCCCGGCCTCGGTCGGGGCCGCCGGCCGGCGCTGCCTTGGCCCCCTTCTTCGTGCGTGGGCCCGGGCCCCGGGTCCCTCGCCCTTGGCCATCGTCCTGTCTCGGTTCGGCTCCTTTTTCCCCCCCGTGTGCTCCCCTTCCTTTTTCCCGCCCTTTCTGCCCCCCTCCTTTCCGCGTGCGTCTTCCCCCCGCCTTGCCCCGCGGCTGCGTTTGCTCGTTGCCCGCGCTCCCGCGCCCGCCCCCGGCTGCGCGTCTCCCCGGGGCTGCGTCCCCTCTTCCCTCCCCTCCCTCCCTTTCCTCTTCCTCCCCGCCTGCCCGCTTTTCTGCCCGTTTCCTGTTCTTCCTCCCCCTCTCCTGGTGCTCTTGGCTTTTCTTTTCTGTTGTTTGTTGGCGCGGCGCCGTTGCTTGTTGCCGGCGTTTTCTTGCTGCGTTCGCCCGCGCCTCCGTTTTCTTGCTCCCGCTCCGCCTTTCTGCCTGTCTTCGCTCGCGTGCCCGCTCGGGCGCCCGCGGCCTCTCCTCCTTGGTTTCTTTCCCCCCCCCTGCCTTCTGCTTCTCCTTTTCCGCGTCCCTCCCGCTCCCGCCCCCTTCGCGCTCGCCTCCCGCTCTTGCTTTGCTCGCGGGCCCCTCGCCCGCCCTTCCTTCCTTTCTTTCCTCCTTTTCCTCTGCTTGTTACCGGTGTCCTCTCGTCGCGTCGCTTTCCCTCCCTCCTTCGCGCGTCCCTGCTCGTCGCCGTGGCTTGGCGGCCGCCCGGGGTGCCGCTGGCCGCCCCTTGGCGCCGTCGCCTCCTTCGCGGCGTCACCGCTTCCCCCTTGGCTTTGCGCCGTTGCCCCTCCCTGGCCGCTGGGGCCCCTGTCCGCCGCGCGGTGTCTGTTTTGGCCCGCGTGCCGCGGGTTCGCCTCCTGCCGCCTTGCGGCCTTCGCCCCTCCCGGCGTCGCCGTCTTTGCTGCGTCTCGCCCCTTGGCCCCCCGACCCTTCTTCTTCCCTGGTCTTGCTCTTGGGCCGCCCGCGCGCCGCCCCCGCTTCTCCCGTGTGCCATCCCTTCCGGCCCGCGCCCCCCGCTGCTTGCCCCCGCCCGCGCCGCCGCGGCGCCCGCCGGGCCCTGCCTCTTTTTTGGCCTGCCGCCCCTTCGCCCCCACGCGTCCTCTTTCCCCCTTTTCCGCTCGCGGGGGTGCCCTGCGGTCTCTTCTTTGCGCGCCCCCGGTCTGCCCCGTCCCTTTCTTGTTTTGCCTCCTCCTTCTCGTGTTCCGCCGCCCGCCGGGCTGGGGGCCCGCCCCCCCGCCCGCCCTCTTCCCGCTCGCCCGCCCCCGCGGCCCGGGCGTCGCTCTGCCCCCCCCCCTGCCCCTGCTGGTCCCCCCATCCTTGCTCCCGTTCCTTTTCTCCTGCGTCCGGTCTGCGTCTTCTTCGTCCCGCCGCCTTCTCCGCTGTCCGGCTTCCCCGTGCCTGTCTCTCCCTCGTGGTTTGCCTCTCTCTCGCGCTCCTGGCCCTTCTCGTCTCGTCCCCCCCGTCGCTGTCCCGCCCCGCGCTTTGTCCTTTCTTTCGCTCTCCCTCGCGCCCCCTGCGCTGCCTGCGCCCGCCTTTTTTCCCCTCTCTTTGTTTCCGCGCCCCCGTCGGCCCCCCTTTTTTTTCTCTTGCCCCCTTCTCCTCTGCCCTGCCTTCTTCTCCCTCTCCGTCCTTTTTCCCTCTCCTCTCTCCCCTCTCGGGCCCCCCTTCCCCGCGGCGGCCGCCGGGTTGGTTGCCTCCCTGCTCTCCGTGGGGCCCCCCTGCCTTCCCTTCCTCCCCCGCCCGTCTCTCCGTTGCCTCGCTTTTCTCTTCCTCCCCCCGCCGCCGTTGCCCGGCCCCTGCCCCGCCCGCTTTGCCTTCTCCCTCTGGCTCCGCCTTCCCTCCCCCCCCCCCTCGTTTTTCGCCCCGCGCTTGGTTGGCTCTTTCCTTTCTCCCTCTCGTTCCGCTTCTGCGGCGTCCCTGGGTCCGCCCTGCGCTGGCTTCCTCTTCTCCCCCCGCGCTGCGTGCCCCTTTCTCCCCCTCCCTTCTTCGTTTCTTCCCGCGCCGCTCGCGGCCCTCGGCGGGGGGGGCTTGCCCTCCCGCTGGTCTCCCGCCGCCTTTCCCCGGCTGGTGCTTGGGGCCGCGGCGCCCCCCTTCCCGCCGCGCCCGGTGCTCTGTTTCTTTCGCGCGGCCCGGCCCGCCTGGTCCCGCCTCCTCCCCCCGTGCCCCTGCCCCCGCCGCTGCCGCTTTCCCCTGGCGGCGTGTGCCTCTCTCTGTCGGTGTTCTCTGTCGTGGCGCCCCGGCGGCTCTTCTGTGGCCCCGTGGCCCCCGCCTCCTCTTTGTTCCGGGCGGGCGCGTGCCCTCTGCTTTTCTCCGGGTCTTCCCTCCCGCCGCTGCGCTGCTCCGTTGCCTCCTTCCCCTTGCTCGGCCGCTGGCTTCTTCCCTCCTTCGTGCCTCCGGGTCCGCCCTTTGGCTGCCCTCCTGCGCCTGGGTGTCCGCCTCCGCTGCTCGCCCCCCCCGTGCTGCCCCCCTGCGCGCCCCGCCCGCGCCGGTCCCGCCCGTTGGCGCCGTGGCGTTCCGCCTCCCTCGCGGTCCGCCCGCGGGGGTCGTGCTGCTCTCCTCTCCGTCCGTCCCGCTCCTCGTGGCGTCGCTCCCGCCTCCCCCCGTCTTTGCCCCGGCCCGGGCGCCTTCCCTCCCGCTGCCGGCCCGCCGGGCCGTGCGCGCGGTGGGCCCGGGCTTCCCCCGCCCGCCCCCGGGCCGGGTCCGCCTCGCCTGCCGGCGCCGGCCCTCCTGTTGTGTTGGCCCCGCCCCCTTCTTGGGTTTCGCGCGCTCCCCGCGGCCGTGGGCCTCGGTCGGGGCGCCGCGTCCCTCCGCGCGCCCTTCCCTTTCGGGCGCGCCTGCCGGGCCCCGGGCGTCTGCCGCTTGGTCCGCCGCCGCTCCTTCCCCTTTTGTCTTGCTTCGTCTTCGCCGTCTCTCCCGGCCTGGCCTGGGCTGGCCTCGCCGCCCGCGCCGCGCTCGCGCTCCCGGGTTGGTTTTTTTTGGGGGGCGCGGGCGCCGTCCCCGCCTGCCCCCCCTGCTTTGTCTTGTGGTCCTCCCTCTTCGTGCCCCTTTCCCGTTTGCCTGTTCGTGTTCGCGGCTCTGCTGCCCGGCCTCCTCGCCCCCCCTCCCGCTGCCTTCCTTCTCCCCGCCCCTCTCCGGCGCGCGGCCTCGGCCTCCTCCCGTCGGCCCCTTTCCTGCCGCCGTGCGGGCCCTCCGTCTCCCCCTCCGCGCTTCTTCGCCCTTTTCCCCCTTGCCGTGGTGGCCGTCCTCCGTTCGCGCCTGCTTCTCCCTCCGTCCCCTGTGCGTTTTTCTCGTTGGCTTTGCCCCCCCGCTGTGCTTCCCTGCGCCTGGCTCCGCGGCTCGTGGGCTTGCCGTGCGGGGGCCGGGCTGGCTCTCTTTCTGGGCGCGCCCTCCGGGGCGCCTCTGCCGCGCCTGGCTCGCCGTTCTGCCTTGGCCTGCCCGCCCCTTCCGCCTTCGCTTTGTCTCCGCCCCCGGCCGCTCTCCGTCCTGCCCCTCTGCCTCTCCTGGCGCGTTCGCTCCTGGCTCCGGCTGCCCGCTGGCGGCCTGCTTCCCCCCTGCCCGTCGGCCGGGCCGTGGTGTTTCCCGTGGCGGCCGGGTGCGTCCCGCGTCCGCCCCTGCCCTTGGCGGGGCCCCCCCGCTGGCCCCGGCTGCTCCTCCCCCGTCGGCTGCGGCGCCCCCGGCGGCCTCCGCCCGCGGCGGGGCTCGCGTCTGCTTCGCTCGTTGGTGCGGCCCTCGCTTCCCCCGGCGCCGCTCCGTCGCTGGTCCGCGCGGCTGCTCCGCCCCCCTGGGCCTGCGCCCCGGCCCCGCCTCCTCCGGGCGGCCGCCGTGGGGCCTTTTCCGCCCTGGGCGCCCGCCTGCCGGCGCCCTGCCGCGTGGCGGTCGCCGGCCCCCGGGTCGTGCCCTTCTTTTCCCGGCGCCGCCGCCCTGCCGGTCTCTGGGGCCTCCGCCTCGGCTCCCTCTGTGCCCGCCGCCGCGGTCCTCCCGCGGCTGCCCGCGTTCTCCGGCCTGCTTGGGCGTCCGCGTCTGTCGGTGGCTTTTGCCGTCCGCCGTCCCCTCCCCGGGCTCCCCCCTGGCCCGGCGGTGGCCCCTCCCCCGCTGG